CTCATTCCATCACCCTGATCAGGTCGGTCCCCAGAGCCAGTTATCTCCTTCCATGCTACTCCAACCATGCTTCTTGGGTCTAGAACCCTCTCCCTGCCCCACCGTCTCTCAGAGTAAGGTGTGGGGTCAGATGTATCAACCGGGGGTCATTTAGGGGAAGCTGAACCCCAGAGGTGGGTAAGATCATTCCACTGACTGAGGTCAGTGAAGACAGGCCAGGGGGACAGAAGGAGAACCAGACGCTCGCCAGATGGGGCAACAGAGGTCCTCAGGAATGAGGAGAGGTGGGCGAGAGGTGCCGGGAATAAGGATGGAGAGACGCGCTCGGGGTCTGCAGGCGGGAAGTCTCATGATGGCAGTTTGCCCAGAAGTGGGGGGCTAGAAGCCAGGCCCCAGGGGTCTGGGAGAGAATGGAAGGGGGCAGCGGTTAAGGGGTCGCGCTTTCGGGAAGTTGGGTCTAGAAAGGAGAAGACTATTTGGGGCAGCTCGAGCCGTGCAAGGACTTTCTCTGGGGGTCAGACGTGGCATATTTCTGCGTCTGCAGCTTCTCTCGCCTTTGCAAGTATCCGTCTGTGGTAGGCCTGGGGGCACCTGCAGAACTGCCTGCCTTTGCCCTGTCCCTTTCTAACACTCAGCTTGTTTGCTGCATGTTCACTGGTTTCCAACAAGCACCAAGCAGCATGCTGGGGTCTGAGGGCTCGGGAGCGCCCGTGGCACTGAGGGGGACAGGCTGTGAGCAAGAAGCCAGAGGGGAGCGGGGCCGGGGGCAGAGGCGGGTAAGTGAGGTAACATTTGATCGAGGACCCGAAGGTGGAACAGTGTGGGCCCGGGCACACTGGAGCAGGATGGCCAAGCGGGGGAGACCAGGCTGATCAGAAGGGCCTTTCCAAGGGCTTCGCCTTTGCTTTAGTGAGATGGGATGGGCACCGCTGCAGGGTTCACAGCAAGACTGTGGCAGTGCCCTGCTCACGTCGCCAGGGATCCTGCTGACTGCCTTGTTGCCAGTAGACAGTGAATCATGGGCCAGGCAGACCAGGTAGGCAGGGTTTGCTTGTCCTGTGGTGGTCCCAGTGGAGGTGACACAGAGTGGACCCCTGAGCTGCTAGATCAGGTATGCAGTGTGAGAGAGCAACACAAGCCTCAGATGTGCCCAGTGGCTGTGGTCTGAGCAGCTGAAGTTACTCCAGGAAAAGAATGGGAACAGCTGGTCAGGGCAGGCTGGCCCTCCAGGACTCGGCTTGAGATGTGCTGAGTTTGGGATACCTCCAGGCTGGTGGCCCACCCATCCAGGGCTGAAGGGAAGATGTCCCAGGTGCCAGCCAGCGCTGGCAGGGAGGCCTGGAGTGCGCTTTGGAACGAGCGCATGTTCAGCCACCCAGCATCCAGATGTCCCCACCGCAAAGCCGGTCCTTCTGGCTGTTCCCCCGTCCAGCCCCACCTCTGCAAACCTCCTCACCAATGGCCCAGGGTAGCACAGAGCAGAACAGAGTCCAGGCTGATACTCAACATCCTGGGAAATGCAATTGAATATCCAGTACTTGCCTACATCATAGGATCAGCTGATACGATGGTCAGGCCCAGGCTGCACTGGGCATTTTAGAGAAGCCTTCTAGACACAGATGTCACAGTATTTTACAGCTCCTCGCACATCACCTTGCTGCACCTCCACACCCCCGCCATCCCCGCCCGCAGACCAGGACGTGGGCAGGGACAGGGTCAGAGGCGAGGGGAGGGTGAGCTCTCTGCCTCGCCTCGGTTGTTTGGACTCTTCCTGCCATGGCCTCTTGGCACATGGTGTGGGGTACAGCCACCCGGGGAAACCCAAATGTTTGCAGGCGGGTCTGGAGTCTCCTGATTTCTTAGGACTAAGGGTATGGCTGAGGGCAGTCAACAGATTACTGAAACCCTGCAAGCAGGGGAAGGTGAGGGGAGCCATCAGAGGTAAAGCCAATGCCCCTTATCCTGCCACTCCCCTGGCCAGATAAAAAGTAGGAGATTAAAGAGCTGAAAAGCTGCATGGCATTGATCCAGACACCCTATCCCCCATCTCCGTGGGTCAATGGAGTCCCCTAAGATCTACGGAGTATTCCTTTTTTTAATTCCATTTTTCAAAATTTTACTGAAGTGACAGTCACATAACATAAACCGGCCATTGTGGAGTCCATGATTAAGTTCATGAACTAGCCAGCTCAAGATATGGTCATCTCCTCAACAGGAAGTCCCGCAGCCATTAGGAGCCACCCCAGTTCTCCCCTGCCCTCAGCCCCTGTCAGCCGCTGATCTGTGTTCTGTCCTATGGGTTGAAATATTCTGGACATTCCCTTAAAATGGGATCCTTCCACCTGTGGTCTTGTGGGTCTGGTTTATTCACTGAGCATCGTGTCTCCAAGCGTCATCTGTGCAGAACACGTATCAGTGCCAAGTCACATTATGCTGTAAGGATGGGCCACACCTTGGGCCACTGGGACTATGCAGCTGTAAGCATGCGTGAGGGGGACCAGTGTGTGTGGTGGAAAAGGGCACGTGGAGGCCTCAGTCTTGCCCTCAAGAGTGGTGTGCATGGCCGTCGGCACCCCCCGCCAGCTGAGGAGCCTCGTAGTCCCAAGGGGCAGGGAGGTTGCCAGTGGCCGGCATGGCCCTGTACACCAGGAAGCTTCCAAGAGAGATATCTATTCTTCCCGGATCAGTGTGGGACCTGCCCCTCCAGTGAAGGCCATTTTCTTCTTTCTTGTGTGCTCCCTCAGCCCTGGCTGTGCCCGCACAGAGTGCAGGGCCATTGAGAATCTCCCTTTCTCGGGGTGGGAGGTGGCCCGGATGACCTGGCCTGGCCCAGGTGCTTGCTGCTGATTGGGTCTCCGGTTAGCAGGACTGGTCCTGCCCAGGGCCCCTGGCTGGGGCTCCCACGTGGTAGATTTTGCTGACAATGTGTCATGGAAGCCCTGGGGAGCAGAGAGGGAGAACGCTGAGCTGGGATGCAAAAGGCATCCCAGGCACCCTGCCCCCTTCCCACTCAATGCAAACGTAATCTAGAGGGAAAGTGAATCAATTGAAACCCAATTTCCTTTCCTCTTTGTGCAGACACTCCCCACTCTCAGTCTCCTGTGGGTTGGAGAAAGGATGTCCAAGTGTGGCAGGGCGAGCTTGGTGCTTTCCGAGAAGGCTCCTCTGCCTTAGCGTGGACAGGGCTGGCTGCACGGCAGTGCACAGGGGTAAGGACGCTGTGGTTGGCCTGATGGAAAGCATCCCTCAGAGGGCACCATCAGAGGTCTCGCAGCGAGCTGTCCTCATATGCATAGATCTGCTCTACTCAGCCCGGGGCCCACGCACGAGCCAGGAGTCAAGTCAGAGCTTCTGTGGGAGGGAGTTTGCGCCTGGCTCCTTAGCTGTGTCTCAGTGTCCCTGTCCCAGGAAGAGGGCCAGCGTGTGCCTGCAGGGTCAGCGGAGGGCGCTGTCTCCACGATGCCCATGACTCTTGACCAGGCTTCTGCCAACACCCGCTGGGAGACAGGAGCACGGGTGTCCTCTGGGGTGCCCCTTTGCTGGGCACCCCTCCTCCCACCTTGGAGGTAGCCAGCAGGGTTGGGCTCCCCTTGCCAGCTGGCATTTTAACGCACAGCCCAGATTCAGGCTGTTCAGGTCCCCACCTTTTCCCTTCCTCAGCACCAAGGGAGAGGCCCAGGAAGCCACGGGGCTGGCCCAGGCAGGGGGCTACCAAAAGGCGGTGAAGACGCAGCCCTCCCTGGGCGGCCGGTGAGGCAGGAAGTGGTAGCACACGACTCTGTCACATGTCAGGAAGAAACCAGGGTGAGGACGTGCAACTCACCGCGCAGCTACTGAGCACCTCCCTGCAGCTTATTCTGTTCAACAGGCTTTGCCAGCTTTGGGGGACAAGCTGCAGGACAGGAGAGCTGGGGTGCAGACCTGGGGGCAGCAGGATTGCAGATGACAGTGGGAGGCATAGGGAATGTGGCTGCAGGAGGGGGTTGAGGCTCCAAGCAATTGAGTCTAAGCCCTGCAGCTGAGAAGCCAGGGACTATCGGGCTGTCCTAAGGGAAAGGAGCTTCTAGAAATTTCCAGGTGGGTGCTGAGCTTCTCTGGTGCGTTTAAGTATTTGTTTACAGATCATTACCTACTCAGGTGGAGTGGCTTTGGGGCAGAAACAATTTGATAATAGAGTATGTGGAGCCGCTGCTAATTGGAGATGGTCAGAAATGAAGATAAAGCATCTCTAGAGCCTCACGTGACCCATGGTGCACGAGGGCCACAGCAGCCACGCATACCGGGGGTGGGAAGTGAGAATTCTATGGGCATGTTTATTGTGTCTGGGGCACCCGCTGGGCTGGGATAGAAAAGGGGGACACCAGCTTCATGCCGGAGCTGGGCACAGGTCGAAACCCCACAGGAGGGGCTGGCTGCTCTCTACCTGCCTCGGAGACCTGGGGAGGTAGCACTGCTCCACTTGGCAGACGAGAAACCGAGGCCCACTGAGCGAAACCATTGCAGGCAGGAGCCGGGCAGGCTGAAACATCCGCACTGTCCACCACACTCCAGGTCTGCGGCTGCCCCTCCTGCCTCCGAACCCTGGGCTGAGAGAGGGTTAAGGGTCCAGCCTGCCATCTCTCTGGCCCCTCCATGACCCCACAGTCCTCCAGGACAGGCCTGAGGACCCATCTGCGAGCCTGGCCCCTGCCCCCTCTGGTGACTGCTGTCAGACCCCAGCTCTGACGAGGGTCCCCAGTTGGATCACCATAACCCCCGCTTATTTGTGACTCTCATCATTGCTATTGTTTTCTGAACAAGATGCTCAGGTTATGAATTTGGGGATGATGAACAAAACGGTCAGGAAAGTTACTAAATATCCTAACCCAGACCACACACCACACACACTTGATAAACAATTCTCCAGAAGGCTCCTAGGTCAGAGACAAGGCTGTCCAGGTGAGGCACAGGCTCACAGAGACTTGGTGCACATGAAGTCCGAAGAGAAAGGGATGATGCAGTTTCATGAAGAAAGGGAAATGCTTTAATTTTGAAACAATGTAGTTCTAGGAGTTGGACCCACTATTCAAGGCCACAGCCACCTGCTGCTGGAGTGTCTTTGGTGTGTGACAATCAGAGCCCCAGTTCCGACGTCAGGACTCACTCCCCACTGCAGGTGGGCCAGAGGCGCACATCCTCCCTGCACAGCTCTCTGCAGGTCCTGTCACCAGTCCCAGTGCCCACCGCCAGCTCACCTGATCAGGCACGGACTGCAGTCACCTGTGAAAAACAGGAAATGTGGTCTTAACATGAGGAGACTTCCATCTACTTCATTTATTCTAGAAGCTGTGAAAACAAAACAAAGAAAACACGAACAACTAACAGGGGCTCCTCCTGGTCCATAGGCAAAATAACAACTGTAGCAAGAGTTTTCTTCCCACCCCTGCCTTGATTTCTTTCTGGAAACTTTCTGTGCCTGCTCTGAAAATGGAGTCGCTCTGATCACGTGCGGTGTTGGCTGTTCCATCCTGGCCCTCACGCCGCACGTCGGCTGGGTCGGTTAAACTTCAAAGACATCAGCAAGTAGTGCCGAGGGCCAGTCTGTTCCCAGAGGTGTGGCAGGGAAGCCTCCTCGTTGTCCAGCCTGCGTGGGGCCAGGATGCCCCCAGCCTGCCAGCAAGCCAACCCCTGGAACTCCGGACCCGCTCAGTGTACTTCATTCAGCCAACCACTGCGCGCCCAGGTCCCAGGGATGCTCGGGGAGTGAGGACCGCCCGCCTCGCGCATCTACATCCTGAGGGGCTCAGGCATGTGGGACCAGCCCCCAGCAGAGATGGCCTGTCCCTCTCAGCCTGTCGTCTTGCTCCTCAAGGACCCCATCTGAATGGGCAGCCTGCCCCACACCACACGTCCATGCAGCAAACCTCCTCCCCGCACGCCCTCTCTCCTCGGCCTTGGTGCAGGGAACTGCTTCCCAGCCTGGCTTCCAGCTAAATAAACATGAAGAGCATTGAGCCAGGAGTTCAGGCGGGGTCCGAGCCGCTGGTCCAACTCACTCACGTCGTTTTTCATTTGGAATGAAATTAAACTCCTGAGAGCAGAAAAGAACCCTTTTCTAAAAGGGAAATGCATCAGCGAATCCCTCAGGGGGAAAACGTTTCGACATGGAACTTTGCCTGTACTTTCTCCGGCCAGCACTGCGGCTCCCTCTCAGCACCACCCCTGCGCCCTGCCTCTCTTGAGTTTTCAACCCACCTTCTCCTGATTTGTGTGTGCGGGAAAGTCGCCCCGGGCCTGTGTCCCAGACCCATCCCTTTGCTCTCCCAAGCCCGTTCCAGAAGTGCCTGGGTCAGGAATAAGCTGGAGGGCTTCTGGTCAGCACTATCTTAAGAAGCAAAGAAAACTGCAACGCAACACAGCAGCCCCGGAATCAATGCCATCCGGCCGCCCCGCCCCCAGCGTTTTCCTTCAAGATGCATTTGTCTCAGCAAAGCCCGAGGACCAGCTCAACAATGAGCAAATTAACAGGGTTGTGCCCATGTTTTCAGCCTGATGGCTGTTTATTTCCCTGTTGACCGCTCCCTTCATCAGGGTCTTTGAGCACCGAAGCTCCTGCCCAGGAGCCTGACCAAGTGAAAGACTAAGCATGTATTTACTTAAAAAAAAAAACCTCAAAACCCCAAGGCCACTTACTGATTTTAACACCTTTTGATGTGTTAAAAGTCCTTGTCGGATGGCAGATAAATCCATACACCACCGGTGGGTTGCGAACCCCAGCAAGACCCAGCAAGGTCCCTGAGCAGGATTCCGGCGGTGCAGGGCTGTGAGTGCTGATGCAATATCCAAAGGGGGGCAGGGCCATCCCAGCAGGACGGTGCACCCATGGGGCACCTGCAGAGTCACCCTCACAAAGCTGCCTCCTTCCCCCAAGCTGGCAAGGTTGTTCTCACCTCAAAGACACACAGGCTCAGGTTCAAAGACAGAAACCTCAAGACCACCAGCTGGCTGTGCTGGGGACTGGGGCCCAGGTCCGTCTGGCTCGGAAGCTCTTGCCGAATCCACTACCTCCACCTGACAGGTGGGTGACGCACGTGGGCTGGAAATGAGAGCCAGGCAGGCCCTTCCCTCACTCCCGGGCTCACTTCATGGCCTCCTCTCTTCTTCCCCTGATTTATGGAAGGTTCTGCCTGGAACGTGCTAAGAAACACATGATGGAGAGCAGAGCCATGCCCCACGTGCCCGCAGCCTCCCTGTAATGGAAACGGTAGGGATGCCACCTGGCTTTGTGCTGTGCCCTGGTCTCAGGACAACCCCCAGCATGAGCTCATGGAGGTGCAGAGGAAGCCAGGGGCTCTGGGTCACTCTGCTCTGCTCTGCTCCCACCCAAGGATGCGCACACCACGTGGCCATGCCATTTGCCCCAGCCCCCCCCAGCCCATGTGTCCCTTTAACCCCCTCACATAACTACGACTCAATTATACTGCCATCCACTCTAAAATGCACGCTGCGGGAATGAGCGCGTTCCCTGCAAAGGTGTCACCAGGAGGGGCCAAGCTATTCTGAAGGTGCGCCCAGCTACTCAAGGCAGGGGGAGGCTTCCCTTAGGCAGGGGGCTGAGGAAAGTGTGTCCGGCTTGTACCCAGACTCCAAGTGTGTGTGTGTGTGTGTGTGTGTGTGTGTGTGTAGCCCGCCGGTTCCCCAGCACCTACATCTCCTGGACAAGTTGTCACATGGCCTGCTCACCCATCACCCCGTGCGGGCCCTGTGCATTTCCTTTGGAGGGGTTGGTGGCTTTCTTAGAGAGGTGTGTGTACACACATGTGCACGTGGGTGTCAGCTGTGACTTCTGACTGCACTTGTGCCTGTTGTCCTGGTCTGCTTTGGGTATGGTGGCCTTCTCACTGGGGACGTGTCATCTTCCCTCCGGCCCACCCACTGCGCCTCGGCTCTAGGGTGTTCTGGGAAGGACACCACACGCACACACACTCACAAACACACACATACATACTCACACACACACTCACAAACTCACGCACACTCCTCTCTCCTCTCTCTGCTGCTTTGAATCCCAAGGCATTCCCCGTGAGTTCCAGGGGAGCTGGTGGGTGGTGGGAGTGAGTGGCAGAGCACAGAGTCAGGGTCCCTTCCTTCCCACCCAGCTTCACGGAGGAGATGCGAGAGCGTCCTTGAGGGGGCGTGTCCTGCAGCTGCCGTGGCGCCTGGGAGCCCACGTCCCGGGCAGCAGGCAGCCACCACTTACGCTCAGACCTTTGAGTGTGGGGTCTAAGAACTGCAGCTACATAACAGGTGAAGCACCATTCTTGCAATTTGGCAGTAAAATCATGTGCTTATCTTCTACTGCACTTGTGAAAGGACATATTTGCACACCCAGCACCATCCGCATGTCTGAGACTCAGCCTCCCACCTTCCATGCCGCCACACCACTGTGTTGGCCCAGCACAGCCACCATAACGGACGCACCTGCCGGGCAGCTGAACCGCGGACATTTATTTTCTCGGGGCTCTAGAGGTTGGATGCCTCGGGCCGGGGTGCCGGCAGGTGGGCTATGCTGAGGCCTCTCTTCCTGGTTTGCAGACGGCCCCTTCTCACTGTCCTCACATGACCTTTCCTCTTGCACTTGGGGACAGAGAGGTCTTCTGTGTCCCTTCCTCTTCTTATGAAGACATTAACGAACGACATCAGATCGCGGCCCCCCCAGTGACCTCATTTAACCTTAATCACCTCCTGAAAGGCCCCATCTCCAAATAGTCACCTTAGGGCTAGGGCTTCAACACAAGAATCTGAGGGGGGCCCAGCTCAATCCCTGACAACCCTTTCCAGGTCACTCCACCACTGCCACCCTTTAACCTCCGCCTGCCCCCCACCACCAGAAAAAAAAATCAAGCTCTCCTGGACCCCCAATAGCCAATAGCTCCTCCCTGAACAACTCTGGTCCTTTCTCTAGTTTTCTCATGGGCAGACACTAATCTGCGTCCCCTTTTCGGAGAATGTGACCCGCTGGCAGGCAGGCGGAGCCCAGAGTCCCCACTGGTCAGGGTCTGCCTCTCTGCAGCCAGTCTGCTAGCTGGAGGGGGCAGAGACCACTCCTACAGGGAGTCTGCATTCACTGAGCAAACACTCGCTGGGCGGAAAGGGCGCGAGGAGTAGTGGGCAGCAGGGACGCTCACGTGTTCTGGAAGGTGGCACACGGCCGCTCATTCCCTCGGTCAGGCGTCCACGGGGAGGTAAACTCTGCATCACTGCTGCAGAGGGGCTGCCCGCCAGGACAGCCGTCCCCCACCAGTGCCCTGGCATGATTAGCGGTCCCAGAACACAGAGACTTAGAGGAGGGGCACTTACAGACCTCGTAGGAGGTAGGCACACCAGCACTGTTCCACTCTGTCAGGAAACCGAGCACCTATTATGCGCCTGGTCCCAGGTGCCCACAGTGCCCAGCCCAGGGAACAGAGACACATGGCCTGCCAAGGTGGCTGGTGTCTTTTTCCTGCTGGCTCCCAAGAACCGGGAGCACCTCCCATACTCATCTCCCCCGTCGCCAGCCCCCACCCCCAGCCTCCTCATCACAGCGCAGGTCTATGGCACACCAGGATTTGGGTCCCAGCTCTGACAATTCATGGTCAGGTGACTGGGCCCTCAGTTTCCTCACCTATGAAATGGGTGTGTAACTGGCACACAATCAAAGAAGTGTGAGGGGAGCACGCAAGAGGGTAAGTGAGATGACAGAGTGAAGGATCCTGCTCCATCCAAGCCAGCTGGTCCCGTGGGGAGCGACGGGCACAGCAGGTCCAGAGGCCAGCTCGGCCCTTCTTGGCCATGTGACCTGCCCCTCCAGGCTCCCACTGCTTCATCTGTCACTGGAGGGCTGGGCCAGGCCACGCTGTCTCCTCCTGTGTGCCCAGGCGGCAGCCGAAGCCTTCCCCCACGACAGGAGCTGGGTGGTTAATTCACCAGCGTCCCCAGCCTGATGGCTGTGGTTGGAGCACAGGGCTGAGGTTTGAGTCTGGCCAGGGCAGGGGCGAGGGCCAAGCACACGGGCCAGGTGGGGCCAGCACATTCCCTGGTTCCCACCGCACTGGGTAGGCAACTTCTGGTGGGATTCTGCGGGGTGGGGGCTCCTGCCAGGCTGAAGCAGCTAATAGGAGTGTTAGGAAGGGCGTGGCTTCTAGCCCATTCTGGGAATAGGTGTGATGTGGCCGTAACTGAGCCATCCCCCTAGACCGCTCAGCACCAGCGGCCTTGCCCTCCACCTGGGTGCCAGG